GGTCATTAAGGGATGATAAGAAAGGGGTTGAAAATATAAACAAAGGTTGGTGTAGAAGTCATTAGTTGGTTATGTCTAAATAGGCCAAGGGAGGGATAATGGCTGTACGAACTTTTTTGAATACATAGTTTAGGTTTAATAGTTCGAGTGCCCATCGCCTCAGCTGTGTGCAGTAAACGAATACGAAGCCTATTGAAAAGATTCGGTGGGATACGATGAATTACTTTGAAGGCTCTCGTTTTCTCGGTTACATGACCACTATCAATAAAATGTGACAAAACTGAGCTACGGATTGTTTTTGTCTGTTTTTTGCCAAACCACGATGGGAGATGTTCACTAACACGTTGGCTAAGCAGTCTAGTACATACATATATATTTCTAAAATGCTATTAGGGACGATACATAAAAAATGACTGACTGCAAGTAGTTGTTCATACCATGAATTTCGTTGAGTCAGCTAGTGAATACAAGAACAGTTTATGTGACACAGCAACAAAAAATTTAAAAAAGCAGTATTTCACCAGGGGCTAACAGATTAAAAGGTCTTTGGGTGGTGACTGCTATTCTGCGGATATGATGGTGGGTACTTAGAAGAACCTACCTTATCTGTGGGAAAGCGTTCTGCTGTCAAGGCTCCTTAGTTTGAATAACTTAAACAAAACGAAAGATAAAAACTGCCTGAATGTCACAACCTCTCTCTCCTTTTACTACCATCAACTTTAACTAACCGTCAGTATGTAAGACTATAAAATTCAACGACTATAAATCCTTAGTAATGAAAACGGGAATGAACCCTGCGTTTGTCGCATGCTGTTTGTCTAAATTTTTATTATTTGCTTGCCACCTCTGCACCTCTCTTGCTACTTTCTTCTGCATTTTCCTTTCGAAAGTACTGCATTGGAGGCTTGAAAATGTACAGCAATGCTGACTGTTCCATATTTTAGAATACTTGACTCCGAAGAAGTTTTCGCGGAGTGCAAGTTTGGTTACGTAGATCGGAAGAGCCTTGTGATGAGTATTGTATGTCTTTACTGTTTGAGACTGAGCTTTTTTGCGGGGACTTAAAGAAGAATATTAGGTTTATAATAAGTCGTCACGTGAAAAGTGGGTCAAGGCTCAGAGTCATACACCGTGGAATGTGGTCTTCCTTACAATCATATCCAAGAAGTTTGGACGTGAAATATCGCTGGATATTTTCCATTCTTAGCTTTTCATATCTGCGAGTGCAGCTAATAATAAATGGACAGTGTTCAAATAGTGGCATTACACATGTTTTGCACCGAATGAGCCTGGCTTCATCGTCGCGAAACTTTCCGAGCATGCATCCTAAGAGCATCCTCGACTTTCGAGTCTGTAATGCCTCTTGTTCAGAGTATGTTAGGTCACTAGAGTACCTCAGGCCTAAGTCTAAGACACTTCGGAGTCTGGGTAGGTTAGCAGATTGAAGCGTTAGTTGCATGTTGATTGAGGTTGCATCGAAGCAAATCCAACCACATTTGTTCAGATTGAACGGCAGATTCCATAAGGACGACCAAGCAGACATTTCATCCAATTCCTTCTGCACAACATTCTGGGAGTACCCTAGGTCATCACACTCGAATGTGTAAGCTACTTTAAGGTCATCTGAAAGGATGAACGATTCACCAGATGAGAAGCAAGTGAATATTTCGTTGATATCAAGTGTAAATAAGAGGGGCCCAAGGACACTACCTTGTACTACACCAGAAGTGATTGGGCTAGGCTTGGAAGTTACAAGCCCGAGTTTAACCGTTTCGAACCTGTTGTTAAGGAATGATTTAAGCCATTCTAACAGACGGGTCACGTATTCCTAAGGAGTTCAGCTTATGTATTAGCAGTAAATGGTCAACACGGTCGGATGCCTTAGAAATGTCAAAGTAGATGACAAGTACTAGTTGTCGTCTGTCACGACTGCTGCTCAAAAAATTAAAGAAGTCTAGGTGGCATATTAAACATGATGGTTCGGGTTTCCAATGTTGCAACTAGTTATATGATTGGGTAGGTTATCTGTAACTGGTCCCTCCATAATTCTAGTTGTTGACTTCTGTCTCCACGCCACATTTGTGTTCAGGCATAATCAATGACGTTTTCCAAATCTGTGGGTAAGTTTGTGTTTCTAGGGACATTGTAAAGATCTAAAGCAGTAGTAAGGGAATGTGAGGGCCACCATATTTATAAAAATTGGGTAATATGGCGTCAATGCTTACTGTTGATTGATCTTTAATAACGATGGGCCGAAATTCTAAAAAGAGTGTTCGTGTGAACACCAGTAATTTAGAAAATAGCACCAGCTCGTCTAATAAAACATTACCACCCCTTATTATTAGTAGTTCACCCAACGTAAAAGACTCGAACATAACTCTGACCCCTGTAATACAGGTGGAAGATGTTCTCTCTGAAAAAGTAGAGCTCTCTTACTTAACATGCATTATTAAAGAGATGCAGCTACAGATTGATGAATTAAAAACGAAATTAAGTTCATTTGAATGTATACCCGAAACTGTCTCACTCATGAAAAAGGAACTGCAGGATCCTACAATCCTAAAACTTTTTAATATGACCTCTAGAATGACGCCTACTGACTCAGAAAATGCGAAGGAGTTAGAAAACGCCATTGACTTTCTATCCAGCGAAGTTGTTAAAAGGCTGGCTTCGAAACAAAACGCTATAGTGTATAATGTGCCAGATGGCGAGCCCATTAAGTCGGTCCAGCACTCATTGGTGAAGGCTGCAAATCTCTTGAGTGCACCTTGTCAGTGCATTCGCCTAAGTAAAAAAGACCTAAAGCATCCCTGTCCTATACTCTTTAGGTTCGACAGCTACATAATAGCTGAACGATTCAAGAAGGCCGAATATCTTCTGGCCACTGCCACTAAATTCAAGACTGTTAAAGTAGTCTCGGATAAAGCAACTAACCAAAGGCAAGCAACCAAGAACTCCTTCGATAGAAAGTTGACCACACCGAGAACTACACCTGGTATCAGTGTTAAAGTGTCGACGGACACTGAAGCACAGCAAGTCACCTGTATAGTGTTGGAAAAAAATCGGCAAGTAAAAGCGACTCGAAACTCAGTAAGAGCAGTGTCACTGGGTGCAATCCTAAAGTACATGAGAGCACATCTGGAAAACCTGCTGACATACATGAGGTTGATATTGACTCACAAACTATGTCTGACCAGAAACCACTGGCAGACCACACTCAATCTGCATGCAAGCCCGAGAGTCCCGCAGTAGAAACTGCAAGAAAGACGACAAAGCCTAGAGTTCCACTCCAGACTTCGACATACCTCCCTCTCAATAAGTCTAATAAGCAACATGTCAGTCTAAAAAAAGACAATGCATGGGTAAAAAACCATATTCCCAAAAAAGTCATCCATCATGTGAATGAAAACACCGCTTCCCGAACTAGGAGTAATATGCCTAGCAACGCACATAACTTGGGAATGCAACGTAGAACGGATCATCAGGATA